TTCAACCTCACTTCGGGTGCAGGGAATTGGTGCCGGTCTCCTGTCCTGTAATGACTGCCAGTGGTGTGATTTGGCGAAGGTCATGGATGCCACCCGGTTGCATTCAAACAGGACTGGTCTGTGGTATGAGGAAAAATGAAACATTTGGAGCGATAGCTCACACATCAGACATGGATGCGGTTGAGTTAACTTTTATTAAAGCACCACAACAACAACTCACTGTACCAGGAGTGGATAGTTAGCGGGCATTGTTTCTGTTCCAGATGGCTAGTTTGAAACCACAGATAGCTGGTGGGGAACTGATGGTGTTTTAATCAGCAGTTTTAGTTTTTTTTTTTTTATGTTTTTATGATTGTTTTTATCTTTCTTTTAACGATACACAACATTATTTTAGTTCTTATTGTGAGCTTTATGGTTGTGTTCAGCACCTTGGTCTGCTGATAAGGTCGTGGAAGGTGCTTTATAAATAAATGAAGTGAAATGAATTGTCCATGGGAACGGACACCATTGTCTAAGTTCAGGGTTATTGGTGACAAGAATAGGTACAACAAAGATACATGTGATGTTTGTTTCCTCTTTCCGTTTCTCCGACCAGAGAGCGCTCCTTCATTATCCTAAATTTGTGTTTGGTTGTCATGGCCACCCACTTCAAAGAGGCCATGAGAGGAGCAAGCGAAAGGGAGATGGACTACAAGGAGGACAGCATACATAAAACCATGGCATCTGCAGGTTTAAGGAATCAAAGCTTAAGAATTTACAAGACCTTTTTAAAGACTACCTTTTTTAGACCCTACTCTTTCAACACGAGAAATGGGGTGTGACCACCTTGAAAATAGATGTGTCCAAACCTTCATTGGAACTGAAAATGCTGAAGAAGAGCACAAACATCAAGATAATTGGTCTGCACATGATAAAAATGCATGTATTCTCCAAAAACAAACAATACATTATCACTACACCTGCATTTCCCCATGGCTAGGGCATAGTACCTTTAGATTTTCAGGTACATCTCTTTTAACAATGCCTGGTTTTATGTACCAGTACCTGAACAACCTGACTTTTAACCCTCAAGGACCCATGGTGAGACTGGCGCCAAAGCCCACCTCAAACATCTGCAAAATTGCTTCTTGAGTATTATATTCCAGTTTGACAAGCCCAAGTCACATTCTATCCATACATATAGTGAAAATTATGTTAGTATTTTTCTCTATATTTTGATGCATTTATTCCGATCTGTTTTCTATTTCAAATGGGTTTAGGTTCTTAATTTTAGAGCGAAAATAAGTATCTGAATTTTTGTTGTTGTGTATTAAACTGAACTACTAATGGACAATTTTAGATAGCATAAAATCTAATTTGGAAAAATTCTTACATACATTAAACTAGTGTTATTTTCCTTTATAGATAGGCATTCCAACCTGGGGAATAAGCACATTCCCTAAAACCTATCACACACTTCTCAAGACCTTGAAATAACAACCCATGATATCCCAAGTCCTACCACGCACCTCACCTGCACAATCACATGTGCTGCTAGTTGTGCATTGACAAGCACACACCTACAACTTATATTCATCAATAGTTTTCTTTTGGGGTACCGAACAAGTGAACATTGTATAGAGTTTCGGTTTAAAATTGTGTCGAGGAGTGTGTGACACTAAAAATGTGAAGTCACATTCAATGCAATTTTGTTTTTGTTGTTTTTTTGTTTTTTTTTTTCATTTTAGAAAACAAATGTTTGTGAAAATGTGAAAGAAATGTGCTGTTATATTTGGTTATAATCTGTGTGACCAGCAGGAGGCAACGTGGTGCTTTGCTTCTGCCACGAGAATCTCCTTGGTAACAAATGGTCGACTTCCTCCTTCTGCTGAGCGAAGCTGCACTGAACAGAAGTGAAGGCTGCCTGTGTCATTCTTTCAGAAACCTTATCTGTTTATGAGTTCTCTAACTGAGAGATGTAAACACACACACACACCGGCGATGGGATGACGGGTGACAGAGCTGCTGCTTCATAGTTTCAAACCATTTATTTCCCTTTTTTTATGCAGTTTCTCACCTGTACAACTTATGACTCAGGTCACGTGCCAACCACCGTTCAGCCAAAACAATGTCACATAATTCCATCATACGCTAAACCATGAAAGGAGTTAGCCTGGTGACCCTTCTTAGGTATTGTCACAAGCACGTTATCTTCCAATTAGTCTGAATCAATCTAAACAGTTGGCTTCATTCGAACCCTTTTGAACTAACTTGATCTGGATGAATACCTTCACCATATCCAGTCCTATTCCTCCTCTCATTACTGGACATCCCCACCACTACACATTCATGTTGTGGACAAGAGCGTCAGTCCTGATGCTATTGCTTATAGGAATGATTTGGCCTGTGTTAATATTAAAAATAGAAATAGAATAAAATAACAGAGTAGCAGCCATCACCGATGATCACACAGTGAATGCAATCACTTTATGTCAGAAAATAACACCTTCATAATTTAAGATTATAACCTCAAAAGAGACATCCCAATTTGCAGGATGACCATCACAAAAAACATCACATTCTTTAGAAGTTTCCCAGTGGAACTAGTTTCTGAGGCACTGTGGTGTCTGCTCTCTAAATGTCTATGGGCCTTCACAAAGTGCAGCCGACAGATCCTTTTATGACCATATTTCCATTTCCAAAAAAAGAGGACGGAATCTGTGCCTACCTTTGACGTCCCCACACAAACCACATTGGGACCCATTTTGTCCCAGTGTCAACTGGCAGAGCTAACACTGTTATGAGATTCCGCCAACAAAATGGCTCTAAAAACATTTTACAGGTAAATTTTTGGCAAATTTATTCCCTCACCCGGAAACGGGTCACCCTCTGGAGCCAGGCATGGAGTTAGGGCATGTTGGCAAGCACATGGTGGCCGGGCTTTTACCCATGGAGGTCGGCAGGGCACAGCCCAAAGAGGAGACGTGGGTCCCCTTTCCAATGAGCTCATCACTTGTGTGTGTGTGTGTGTGGGGGGGGGGGGTCGGGTGCATTGTGTGTCAGGTGGTAGATGAAAGCGGAGACCATGGCGGTCTGATCCTACAAACGCTAGCTCTCGGTACGGAATGTCACCTCTCTGGTAGCAAAGAAACCGGAGTTGGTGGGAGGATGAGAGGTTCCGACTAGAAATAGTCGAATTCACATTGATGCATGGCTTTGGCTCCAGTTTCCTCAAGAGGGGTTGGACTTTCTACCAGTCTGGAGTTGCTCAGACTACGAGGTGTCGCGCAGGAGTGGGCATACTAGTTGCCTCCCGTCTAAGTACCTGTACATTGGGGTTTACCCCGGTGAACGAGAGGATAGCCTCCCTCTGCCTATGTTTGGGTTGACAGGACCTGACTGTGGTTTGTGCTTATGCCCCAAACCGCAACTCCGACTACCCAACCCTTTTGGAGTCCTTGGAGGTGGTGCTGGAGAGCGCTCATTCTGGTGACTCCCTCGTTCTCCTGGGGGACTACAATGCTCACGTGAACAGTAAGACCTGGAGAGCTGTGGCTGGGAGGAATGGTCCCCCTGATCTGAATCTGAGCAGTGTTTTGTTACTGGACTTATGTGCTAGCCATGGATTGTCCATAACAAACACCATGTTCAAGCATAAAGGTGTTCACATGTGCTCTTGGCACCAGGATACCTTAGGCTGCAGTTCAATGGTTGACTTTGTTGTCATATCATCTGACCTGCGGCCACATGTCTTGGACACTCGGGTGAAGAAAGGGGTGGAGATGTCAACTGACCACTGCCTGGTGATGAGTTGCCTTTGATGGTGGGGGAGGATGCTGGTCAGACCTGGCAGGCCTAAAAGTATTGTAAGGGTCTGCTGGGATAGTCTGGCGGAGTCATCTGTCAAAAGGAGCTTCAGTTCCCACCTCCGACAAAATTTCAAACACATCCCGAGGGAAGCGGGGGACTCTGAGTCTGAACGGGCCATGTTCCGTGCTTCGATCCAAAATAAAAAGGGACGTTGGAGGGACTATGTTTCTCGGCTTGGCTGGGAACACCTTGAGAACTCAGAGAAGCTTGCCCAAGCAGCTGGGGAAAGTGAAGTCTGGGCCTCCTCGCTTAGACTGCCGCCCTCGCGACCCGACCCTGGATAAGCTGAGTACAATGGATGGATGGATGGATGGATGGATGGATGGATGGATGGATGGATGGATGGATAAAAACAAAAAACTTGTGGAAAATTATCTAAATACCTTCAAATATGAAATGTACTAAAAGAATGTCACTCTTGAATGCACTGATAATCTGAAATTAGGTGAGATGTGTGTGTGTGTGTGTGTGTGTGTGTGTGTGTGTGTGTGTGTGTGTGTGTGTGTGTGTGTGTGTGTGTGTGTGTGTGTGTGTGTGTGTGTGTGTGTGTGTGTGTGTGTGTGTGCGCGCGCCTGCCGAAGCACACTGGGCTTCACATGGTGCAGGTCTTCACTGCTGCCACTAGATGGCAGCAGAACACAAGACCACCAGCAGCGGGACTATCGTGGCGATTGAGACCATAGATCAGTAAATAATCGTCTGTGATTAAGAACTTTATGAGAGTCCTACAAATGTGCTTTAAAGATGTTAAATGCGGTGGCAGTGTCAATTTGTGGCTCTATAGAAATATATTTCATAGAATGGTAAAACAGCTTCATAAAAACAAACAGTATACATGAAAAAAAGCTGGTCTTGCCTTTTATTCATGTTTTCTTATTGTGCGCATTGGTTAGAAATTGTGACGTGGCGCGCGCACGTGCAGTGTTTGCGCGTGGTACTGGCCCTTCAGCTGCGGACAACAAACAGTGTACAGTTTTTATTTGGCGCAAACTAAATTTCTATCAGACAGTCTGATTCAGACTGTATCTAACGCAGACATACTTAAAGAAGATAATTCTTGTTTTATTTTCATAGCGGTGCCAGTTTAATATTGTAACTTGGATTTGCCCTCTGCTGCCCTCTAGCGCATTTCTGATGAATAAACAGGAGGAAGTCTATTAGTTGAGTGTGACAGGCAGTAGCCTCAGCTGGTGCGGCTCCGTGGAAAATAACTTGTCAGCTTCTTCGAAAGGTCGCTGCTTTTGCTCGAATTAAAGCAGAAATTATGTAGCTTGTTGATTCAGAAAAGCGGATCCGAGCTGCGTGTGCGGACATGAGGGGTGTTTTCGCGCTTCAGTGGGTTTAAAAGCGAAGTGAAAGAAGCGAGGATGAACTCAGGTGAGTGACTTCTGGTTAACTGATTTACTGGCTTTTCATGATTAGTCTGAGTCACTTCGGGGGAACCGGAAAATATGAAGTCGTTTCGAATCATCTCAGGTGTTGAATTATTCGTTGTTTAAAATGGTTATTGGGCATATAAAAGACTTTCTGGTCAAACGTAAAAAGAATGGGAAAAAATCTGGATAATGAATATGATCAGTGCGTAAATCTGCTCACACTGGCCAGTTTAAAACCATTACAACTGATAACAAACCTTTCCAGATTCTTATTTCTAAACTCTAGGCAGGTCCCATCAGCTGTTTAAGGAAATATCTGAAAACATCCCTTTCTGTCATCGGGTTACAGTGTTTTGTTCTCAAAGGTTTTTAGGACAGCAGTTCATCCAGATTCACCAGTTTTCACGAGACTCCAGTCCCCACACCTCTTCCTCTGCTGCTTGCCTAAAGGTCGTCATCTCTGACCTCCTCCTCCTGTTGACATGAGCAGGATTAATGTGCCTAATGTGGAGTTGCAAACAAAAGCCATGTGATATTTAAACCCCAGTAGCGCTTTAGATTCGTTTACCTTGGGAGTTTACTGGGGTTAGTTTTCAAAGAAGAACTTTGTAGTAACATTTGGTACAAAACTCAAACGTTTAGATGAGAATAGATTTGTGATATTTTGTCTTTTCAATAATTTTTCCCCAAAGCTAAACTCTTCTTGTCTTGCATTTCTTTACCCAGACATACATAAACCACCCGTGGCCCCTAAACCAAAGCCAGCCACCAGCCCGAAAGCTTTTCTGTCCCCCCAGGTCCCCGGCCAAAATGGCCTCACTCTGTCTCCAGGCACAGCAGAGAAGACTAAACCTCCAGTAGCTCCCAAACCTCCCAAACCGGCGTCAGAATCCCCTTGGAACAAAGGACTTCATAACTCTCAAAATGGAATTCAGCAGAGCAAAAAGCCTGAGTGGGATTATGTTATTCCGATTTGCTTGTGTAGCCAGGAAAACTGCACATGCATCAGGACCACAAACGTAAAGCAAAAGGAGAAAAACGTTAAGCCGCTGCACAGTAAGACAGAGGAAAATGAATTGTTATCATCAGGCAAACAGTGTGTTAATGGAGGGACAGCTAGTGATGTGAGGTGGCAGGTGAAGAACTCGTCTTCCACAGATGCGCCTGTCATTAACCACAAACATTTCCGTGACAAACCCAACATAGCCAGAACTCTCAGTGGAGACTCTGGTACCTCCAGCCCTCGGACCGTTGGGCTGCCTCTTCCTCACAGAACCAACGCTGAGACAAAAGCTGTTAGTCCAACTGAAAGAGGGCAAAAGGATGACTGTTTTAGCTCAGAGCAAACAAGTGTTCTCCAGCCCAAACCAGTACTAAAACCCTCCAGGAAGCCTCCACCTGTCCCTGTGCAACGGAAACCCAGAGCAGCTGCTTCATCTCATCAGGAAAAGGTGGAGGACAAGAGAGAGGAGACCGCCGTTCAGGAAAGGAGGGATGTACGCGTCAAAGAGGTGAAGATGTCATCTGACAGGAAGGGAAGCTCATCCATGTCTGTCAGTGCACTTAATAGTCAAAACAATCAACTAGCTTATCTGTGTGCAAGGAAAGCCTGTCCCCCGCCAACCAGGATAAAACCTCACCCTGACGCCAGGAAAGTGCCCACCCCGTTAGTTAAAACACCAGCTGAGGATGTGCAGCATGAAGAGTCCGATTTGGATGCCAAACCTAATAAGGTGGAGAAATCTGTTAGTCAAACGGATCATAGGAATAAGAAAGGTGGAGAACATCAGGAAGAGACGCATCACCTTCCTTCTAGTCCTTCAGTGAGTCGTCCAGACCTCAGTAAGCCCCCTCTCACAACTACTGCAACAGAGGAGAAACGGATGGTTAAAACATCTTCAAAGAAGCATTGCAGGCACAACAGCACATCTTCATTGATGCAGCATAAAGAATCCCCAGAGGAGAAAGAGGTGGATAAATCAGAAGAGTGCGTGCCAAGGATGGTCAACACTTCAAACAACGACACTTTGAAGAGGGAGCTGCCTGTACCTCCTCCGTTTGGAAAAGCAGCTGGAAAGATCAGTGCTTCTGGCGCCAAGCTAAGCAAAAAGAAGTCCAGGTCCTTTTCTTCTGCTGACACCTTGGGTTCTGACGGGTCCAAGGGGAACAGCTTCCGGAAGGTTCTAGAATTAAAGCTGGGCAAGATGATGCCACCAAAGAAAGCTGCAAAAGAAAGCCAGAATCCATACGCCACGTCAAGTGATGTGGACAGAAGTACCCACAATGACCACGATGATTACCAAGAAGTCTCCGAACATCCACATTTGGAACGCAAACTCCCCTCCCTGCAGTCTGGAGTGGAGCAGAATGTCGATGGAGACGAGTTTTTTCCTGGAGTCAAAGAAGATGCCCTGTATGACAGCATAGGGATCTACGAGGAGATATTGGACTATGAGAATGTGGATGTTGGAAACATGGGGACCTGTCCTCCAGCTGCCCACACAAAGGACTGGCAGAGGGATGAATATAACGACGAGAACATTTACGAGGAACAAGAGCCGTATTTCTCACTGGAAAAAAACATTCACCAGGCTAAGACACGGACAGAAGGCGACAGGTACGTCTTTCTTTCATTTGCATTAACTAGTAAATCATCTTACTTTTCAGAACAAGTCACTCAAAAAGTATTTGGTTCATGTCAGAGAGGCTTCATACCGAAGAGAAAAATGAAGATCACTTGTTGTCTGCAGATTTCTGTCAGGGAAGTCTGGCAATTGTGGCAGCACACACGATTGCACTGCCTTCCAGGTGTTGATTAGTTGGAGATCGACCCGATTACCTTCACATAAAAAGTTTTACTAAAACAATACATTATCAGCGTGGTCAGTAACAACATACAGCCCTCTACTGTGTGTTTATGTTTTTAGCAGACGCTTTTGTCCAAAGTGACTTACAATTTATAATGAAGCCAGCTGGTTGACCTGTGTGTTGTGTTGGGTGTAGTGCTTTTTTTTTGTGATGAGGTGATTTCCCTCGTCACAATGCTGTCCTGCGTGTTTACTCAGAGACAAACGGCTCATTGAAACTCCTGTTTAACTTCTGAAAGGGACACTTCATTCAAAAGGCTGAGCAACACGATTGCTCATGTGGTTTCACTGTTATATGAAATAATGGGATGACTTTATTGGGTGCAGTGAATGCTCTAGTAAACTTACTTTTGGGTAAGCGTGTGTGTACTGTTTAAAGGGGCGTTATGGAAGTTTGACAGCCAAAACATGTATAGAAATAATTTCTTCTTCATACATTCTCCTGCAATGCCCTGGTCCTGTAGAATGAGCCCTGGCATTTTTACTGTGATTCCCTATTTTTCTGTAAAATCACAGAAAAAGAGAGCTGCTCGGGTCGAGCAGGCTGCTTCATGCGCGTTCACGCTCAGGCATAGCCCTCCGAACCGCTCTTTGAATGTTGTTTCAGCTGTCATCAAGGATATAAATGCTACAGATACAGAAGATGCCACTGGCGCTATAGCTTGCCTAGTATGCGCAGAAGACCCGGATTTGATCCTGGATGTGGACATAGTTGTTTTAGAGTTTCTTTTTTACATTAATGATATATTTTTTGACAGTAAGATGCCCAAAGTTTTATTTGAGACTCGCCGAACGGCATTCAGTTCACAGATAAAAAGACGTGGGTTCAACTTTCATTTTGGAACAATTTTTCAAGCAAGGGAAGGGAATAATCTAAGCATGCAGGGAGACTGACCCATGATAAACCTTTGTCGGCTGTGCTGAAGAGAAAGGTACAGAACCAAATTATTTAATTAATTAGGTGCATGTTCTCCTGTCCTCTGTCCCCCCCCCCCCCCCCCCCACACACACACACACACACACACAAGGGACTGTCTCAGCTGTTATTTTCGTTAAGGAGTGTGCACGTACAGCTTGCGCGCCTCGTGCACGAGCCTCCTATTGAAGCTGCCGTTACTCTTTTGGCTTGAGGGGGCAATCGCGAGCATAAAAATTCAAAACTCCGTAAAGTCCCTTTAAACAGCAGTCTCACTATTAATCCTGTGCACACGAGCTTCTGTGTAACAAATAATCATGTGACAAAAGTCCCTGTAAACCGGTTACCTCGGTTTTATATGTAATCGTTGCACACGAACCAGTTTCTAAGTTAAGTTACATTTAGGTGCAATGGGTGTTTAAATATGACGGGATAAAACGGTTTCATTATCTTTAAAGAGAAGGTTTATTTAGAAACCATTTTTTACTTAATATTTGTGAAAATGATTGGTCACTCTGAGTTTTACATACAGGCTGAATGTGAAAATAGTCTTCCTCCTCTATCTTCTTCATTAGCTTTGGATAGAAAATGGACAGAAAAAGGCTCTGTTAAGAAAAGCCTGACAGATCTATGTCACACTGTCACTTGACGCTCATGGACTCCCCCATCTTGACTGGTGACGAGGACGGCTGTTTGATTTATCGTCCAGGAAACAGCAGAGAACGTCGAGACTAGTTGAAGCTAAATGTTAGCATTAGCAACTCCACCACACATCAGAACTCTTCCTTGATTGCATTATTTGTGGAGATAAAACATCAACATTGCAAAGCAAATTGAGCCAGTGGTAGAGTCACATTGCTGTTAGACAATCAGAGGAGACATGTCCAAATATCAGGAAATAGGACTCCAAATCTTGCTGTCTTCTGCCCCTTTCTCCACTGCCCTATTTCTATGTCCTCAAACAGGTGCAGCAGAGCTTTTTTTCCTCAGCCCGTGTTACAAGGCATTCATTCCTCTTGGACCACTACAAATGTATTAGAAATATGAGTAATGCTGACCTTTTACCCTGGACTTTCTCATATTGTGCTGTTTTAAGATGGTGCTGTTGTTTCTGATGCTGATTTTCCTAAAGGTGTTCTGAGTTTGTTGCCAACTTGGCGACTTTGACGCTATTTCTAGCAGCTTTTCAGACCCCCTTCTTGACTTTTTAAATCTTAAAAGTACCTAGTGAACACCTCAGAAACACCTCTGGTAACCCTTAGCTACTTTCTCGATAACTGTCGTTGACATTTCCTGCAGGTTAGCTAAACACTCCGCCTGCGCTCCGGACCGTTCTTCAGGACATTAGGAAAGGGAATGATGTAGTGATGTGTCAGTCGCTAAAGAAACAGCTCTCAGAGCCGGCTCCTTGTTGGATTAAGCAGAGTGAGTGACACATACACCGCACCTGCGGACTCCTGAGCCACTAAAAACGGCTAAATGTGCGCGTGCGGCGTGCTAAACACACGTGCAGCTTGCCCCGATTGCTGTGAGACTGGGTTGGGGGTGGGGGGGTGGAGCTGTGGTTGGGACAATTATTACATTAACTGATGGACCTGTAAATAAATAGTTAATAAATAAGGTAGAAATAAGTTCCTCACGCTGATAAATAATAACTAATCTCTCTGAGGACACGGTGTTGGTGCACGCTCCTACAGCACCTTGACACGACTCAATAAATGTTATGCAACATTTTGTGAACATCAATTTATTAGCATTTATTTGTTATAAATGTCACTGTATAATTCTTGCTGTCAGTATTTGCAAGATATTGGTATTTGGGTCTGTACTGGTTAGACTTAAATGAGTTAAACCAAGGTCTATAGGCCTTGGGTCATAAACTATGAGCTATAAGTATATTGGTCTTTTTATACTGGGAATCAGGAGTTATTTTAGTGATCATCTTGTTTCTTATTTATTTTTGTCCTGATTGTGCCCTGAGCAATTTTATGACTGAATAAAAACAAATAAAATCAACATAAATTGAAAAATTGTCCTAAATAATCGTGATCTCAATTTCAGTCACCATAATCGTGATTATTATTTTTGCCATAATCAAGCAGCCCTATCTTGGTGGCCTGCCTTTTTTCAGGATGCAACAAGACTGTTTTTCAGCCCTCTTTCTGAGGTGGTCTGCTTCAGGCTGACCAGGGCCAACACACCCACTGCTATAAGCCGGCTTATCAATCAGCAAATTCATACCTTCCATTGGAGCAAGCCTCTGATTGGTGGGTAGAATCAGCCCATATGGGCTTAAGGCATGCTCAATTCATCGTCATTCATTATCATGCTGATTACCTAGAAGCTGAAAATGTCTCTGACTGCATTCCTTGCGTACCTAAGCAAGGATGTGTGGAATCAACCGGGCCAGGCTGGGGCCGACTGGAGCTATCCGGGCAGGGCCGGGTAGCCCCAGTCGGCCCCAGTCAGCCCCAGCCTGGCCTGGTTGATTCCACACATCCTTGCCTTAAGCCCATGTGGGCTGATTCTACCCACCAATCAGAGGCTTGCTCTAATGGAAGGTGTGAATCTGCTGTCAGCAGTGGGTGTATTGGCCCTGGTCGGCCTGAAGCAGACCCCCTCGAAAAGAGGGCTGAGAATGAGCCTTGGTTGGCCCGGAAAAATACCAGGCCACCCAGATATGTAAACAACCTACACTACCCGGCCCGGGCCGACCCGGTACAGTTGGGAATGGCCCATTTAGAGTCCCTGTGATGGACTGGAGACCATAAGACCATAAGAGACAAACTACATGGCACACACCCACTCACACAGAGGGACACTTTAGAGTCCCCAATTTACCTAACATGCATGTTTTTGGTCTGTGGGAGGGAAACTGAGTTCTTGGAGGAAGCTCACGTATGCATGGGGAGAACATGCTAATTCCATGTAGAAAGGCTGCACCTGCAGGAGACTTTATTGCAAGGCAACCAACTGCATAATTTAAAATCAAATTTTTACAAAATATAACCAATTTCAATTCGTTCTTTGTGCATTTTAAAGCCATAAAACATTTTCTGTTAAAGGTTGTCACGCGTTTGTCGCACATTCACTCACTCATTTACTGTTTTAACAGGTCATTTGATAAGAAATTGTCTTTCCTGAGTGACTCCTTTGACGACACTTCTGAAGAGGAAGAGGACAGCAGTTCCCTGTCAAGTAAAGGTGACCCAGAAGAGCTCGGAGAGCAAACGGTGAGGAACAGAATCTAGTTACATTACTGAAATATTTACTTTGATCATTTGCTTAGTCCTCTAAATCCAAGTCAAGTAGGAGAGTTGAAGTATCTCGAGGTCTTGTTCACAAGTGGGGAAAGATGGTTTGAGAGATTAACTCATTAACTGCCATAGACGACAAGTCGTCATTTTAAATCCAACCTTTCACTACCATTGACGTCTAAAGTCGTCAATTGCATTTTTTTACTGTGTAGGCGTCATAACGAGGCCCCGCACTGCTAGAACAAACATCCCAGCTCTAAAGCGGATCTTCATCTGTGTGTGTCACACGTCACATGACCAGGAAGAAGAAAATCCACGTGTTAGATCGATTTGGGCCGCAGCTGTATAAAAATAAAAAAGTGAGGCGCGAACCTGAAAAGCTTCTGCCGATCACAATTCGACAACGAATTATAAAAGAACGGACAACGCTCGAAACGCAGATTATTCCTGATTTAAGAGGCGAGTCTCCTCTTTGTTTTGGTAGTTTTGGTGTTGACATCATCACAGAGCGCAACATTCTGTGACTCTTAAAAAAAAATCTGTCAATGCTGAAAAACGCTAGCGTCGAAGGGCTTTTCTGATCAGGAAACGGCTGGCAGTTAATGAGTTAATAGATGAAGCTCGGTCATCTGGGAGAGGCTCGGAGTAGATCTGTTGCTCCTCCACATCAAGAGGAGCCAGTTGAGGTGGCTCAGGCATTTAGTTAGGATGCCTCTCTGGTGAGGTTTTCCGAGCACGTCAAACTGGGAGACCAAAGGGAACACCCAGGACACGCCGGAGGAACTGTTCTATTTAACTGTTCGTGTCGGCTCCATGCTGTCAGTAATACATGTTGTGTGTGAATGTTTGCTGCTGTTCTGTTATCAAAGTCTGTTTTTGCATCTAATTTTAGTTGCAAAGAGAAAAGAAGAAAAGTAAAATCCAATACATCGCCACAGAAATTATGAGCTCCGAGAGTGTGTAAGAAAAACCTTTTTTTTTTTTTGTCCTCAAAGCAAATGTTTACCAAGATTTGGAATCATTCTGTCCCAAGTTGGCCTTCAGCGCTAGCTGAACATGAGCATGAGAACTGCCATAACTCAGTGTGAGGGTTCTTTAAAACCCGCAATCAGAGGTTGTGATATTGTACATTATTTTCGAGATTTGACAGAAATTGACAGATTTCCACTTTCCTCAAAATAAGACTGTTTTAAATCTGTAGGGTAAAATTCTGTTTTAAATGTAGGATAGATGTTCCAGCAAAAAATGAAAAAATAAGCCCCAACCCCTCTAGAGTCATAGAATCTGAGGGTCACAGAAAATGGTGTAACACCGGATGCAACGGATACCATCAAACAATTGTAAAATCAACAGTATCTTATCATTTTGACCCTTTGTTGGCGTCTTTTCTACATGATTTCCTAAAGTAAAACACACTTACGTAACCATATAGCAATTTTGTGTTGTCAGTTAGTTTTAGTATTTTTTTCTCTCGTTGTTTATTCTTAATTTTAAAAAAAAATTATCACAGTAACTGGTGCCACCAACAATCTGGCCAATCTTCCAGGACCCACCCTGAACATTCCCAGACTCGCTCTCCCATCTCGGGCATTGCTCTGCCAGCCGACAGGAGATAGGCTGCGTTGGTAGACAACAGTCCCATCACCTAAATGTTTCCCCAACAAAAACAGATCCAGACTCTAAAGGAAGAACATGTGTGTTACGTCCCCGACAGGAGATGTTAAAATGCGAAGAAGGGGGTAACATAAGAAATACGACAGTGGAGTTAAAATGGTTTTAATTGAGATAAAAGGTTCTAAAAACAAGTGCAAACAGATGGCGAGCATTATTAAAATAATGCAAAACGAAAATGTCACTATAAGGTTAACAGTTAAAAGACAAATTAACTATATAAAACACCTGGTTAAAACTTTCTTAAAAGTTTAACCAAAACTGAAGGTGTTTAAAACCACAACGAAGTTGATAAAAGTCTAAAAACTAAAGCAGAGTTGACCTTAAAACAGTGTCAACTAAGTTGACATCAACCAAAGATCCCTATGGATCACTGAGAGTTTATTCCTTTAAACTCTTCAACTCAGAGTTAAAACTTTTAGAGTTAAACTCATCACAAACGAAGGGGTTGAAAACAAAATGAGGCCTGGAGGACAGCAGAACCCCTGCACTGCTGCCTCCCAGACTGCTTAAGGCACAGCCTTTTTATCCCAGGTGTTGGTCATCAGCAGGATTCAGCTCAGCTGTGCTCCTCAGCAGCCTGGAAGAGAGGAGGAGGGGCGGTGTCAGGCTCGATCACCAGGGCTGGGTGATCTTGGCTCATGCATCCCACTGGCCAGGCTGGCAGCCGTAACAATGTGAAACAACTCCTTAATAAAATTTTCAAAAGACAAACATAACAGAACATTCTGTCTATTACACTAGGTAGCCTGGCTTTGCTTTTTCAGCTGCTCTGAGGGGAGAATGTGCGATCCATGCTCCTAAAGGGACAGGGGCGGACTGGAGAATCCCAGAATAGCTGCCACCCCCACCCCCTGCTCGTAGATTTCTACATCCGACTGGATTCCAGTGTGGAATTTTTGTCCCCGTCCATCCCTGTATGCTCAGGAGGAGAGATGGTCATAGGGCAGTTTAATTGATTTGATTGATTGTGATCCAATAATTAAAGGGACACTAGGCCGTTTTGACTTGCTTTTAGCAGCCCTTAGTGTCCGTTAGTAAAACCAAAAGGGAAACTTTTCTCCTTGTTGTGCATTTGTCTTTTTGACACCTTAATCTAACTGTTGAAATATCTCCTCGGCCTTCATCAGTTTCTACAGGAGCGGTTCATCACTATATCAAACAAATAAGCCTCGTTAATGACCTAAAACATGAAGGAAACATGCTAGAAGCAGACTGCAGGGCTAGCATGTCCGCTCCACTTTACTAAGTCCAACAAGGACTGGATCTGCAACTCTGAAGTTGCAAGTGCGATATTTTGGCCACATAGGGCGGTCTGAGTGATATTTCATTAACCCTGTAAAGGATCATTTTAGCTCATGCTGGCTTAAGACAATGATTTAAAAACGTGAAAAGTTGCAAAGTATGGAATGTTCACAATGATGGAGGGTTTTTCAGGATTCTACGTTATAGAGGCAATAGCAATTATTAATGTTTTGACCAAACGTCTAATTTGGTTGCCATTAGTATGTGAAGATTGTTTCAAGCAATATGCCAAAACATGTTTCAGAAAGATTCTCCGTTTTTAAATCTATTTTAGCAAACTTCTCAAAGCTTAAAGAAAAGTTTGTTTACAATATTTTATGGATTTTTGTTCCATAATTAGGATAAGACATCTTGACTTGCTCATCAATAACTTCATTCTCTTCTTCTCCCTGTAGGTTTGTTGACATCCTGAAGCTGCTTCATGTTGTGAGTACTGGTTGCTTCATAAATAAAACAACCTTGCTGTGATAATAGCAAAGCTGGGTGATAATCCATTTATGTATCATCAGACCCTGAGCTCATGTTCTCCAAATGTGTTTGATTATGCTGGAGATCGGGACACACCCAGGACTGGATCAGTCCCCTCGGATCACATTCCTCATGGTTTTCCCCAAACCCTCCAGAAAAACAACACCTTACTTTAGTTACAATAACTTTGTCTTCTATCCCTTTTGGAGGAATTTTATCTTTAAGACACCAAAGTTCCTTTGCAACATTTCCCAAAAGTGATCATGTGACATAGATCTTTGAATTGATCATAGATGTCTGCATGTAGACAGACCAGTAAGCCAAGTTTTAGGGGTTTTGTTTGTTGTTTTTATCTGTGCACGCTCTGTTAAACTCATCTGGGGTACCCCAAGCACAAACACTTTGTGGTGCCAGTAATGCAGATGTGTTTCTAAGATATGATCATATGGGATTGTTTTGTTGCGCAGGAACAGCCACCCCTGCAGCAGCTCACTGTTTTTAAACAAAAGGAATGCTTTAAGATGAGCAGATGCTTGGAGAGAAAAGGGTTAGATTATTGTGGAACTGAGTCATGTGGAGTGATTCCCCCTCTATGGAAAACCAGCAGGAAGTTGGTCTCTGTGGGCTGCGTAGGAAGGGATTGTACCAGATTCATGCAAATAAATACAATACTTCTATGTATTTTTATAAGGATAGTCATCCATTTCAGATTATTTTGTGTAATTTTGGCATCACTTTTCCAAATGTCAATTTAACTAACTGCTTTAATTTTGATGGAAAAATGGTAAAAAAAAAATTATTTTTTAAATCCTCCAAAATGACCTCTGTAATCTTTAGTCAGCCTTGTTAGAAACACATTTGTTTTATCTAGATGTTTTGACACTCATGTCTAATTTTCCTGCCACCGCCTTACTCAGTGTCAGCTGCTGAAACAGGAAATGTTCACACATAATAACCACAGGAGGCTGTCTTTTCATCTGTTTTCTGGGAATCCAGTCTGCAAGCTGGTTTATTTGCCATGTGTCCCTGTAAACCAGTGAAAGACTCCACATCATCAGAAATAACACACATAGGGGCCCTTAGGCCTTACATCTTTCCTGTTCAAGTACTGGTTCACAATGTTTGGGAAGTTTAAGGTTATTTAATGTTAGTCAGATGTGTGTAAGTCATAGGACAGAAGAGTTCCTCTTTCATCTTATATAGTTTGTCTGAATAGGAGTCTTAGTCCACATTGCATAATTTGCAGAGAAACCGTGTCATAAAGATGTGGTTCACTGAAAATAATTCAGGCTGAACATGAAAATAATCTCCTACACCTATCTCTTGTATTAGCTTCTGATGGAAAAAAGACATTGAAACTCTAGGATGTGAAAATCCTCACAGATCTACGTCAAGCGTCAAGGCATGTTATTTGTGGAGATAAAACATCCATGTTGCAGAGCAAACTAAGTTCGCAGTAGAGTCACGTTGCTGTTATCCAATCAGAGGCGAGATGTCCAAATATCAGGAACTAAAACTTCCAATCTCACCTTAAGTTGTCCTCTGATGTTGCAGACTTGTCCATGCTGATGTAGGCGTTTCGGGGCTTTTCTGGCCCCGAGTACGGCTTGCAAGGCATTCATTCCTACCAGAGACCACTGCAAATGTTGTGATTAAACAAGTTTCCCACACCTTTAAACATGAAGGAAACCAGATCAGTAATGGCCTTTCTGATTTACAGGACTTCAGAAATTCGGTGGATGTAGCGTCTCAGCAGCATGGAAAGCCTGTGATTGAGGAACGTCTTCTCAACCAGATCCTGTACTACCTGCCACAGCTTCATGAACTCAATGAAGACCTGCTGAGAGAGCTGACTCAGAGAGTGGATCATTGGTACAACGTCATTATCAAATATCTTACGTGTGTTTATTTTAGGATGTAGGACATGAAATCAGCTTTTGTGTCTACTTTTGAGTTTTGATTGTAATCTAAATGGCACAGCCAACCTTTACAATAATCTCTTGCTTTTTTTTCTTAAATTAAATAAATTCCACACATATTTCCAAAAGCATCACTTCTGTGCATCATGGATCTGACTGTATGTATCTCAACATGTTCTTATTTCACTGAATAGGGATGAGAATTCCCAAATAGCAGACATTTTCTTGAAGAAAGGGCCCTTTTTGAAGATGTACTCTACCTACATCCGCGAGTTCGACAAGAATGTGGCTCTACTAGAGGAGCAAACTAAGAAGAACCCAGCATTTGGAGCAGTCGTCAAGGAATTTCAGGTAACGCTGCTGGTAAAACCCGTTTCCTTGGTCTGCAGAGGCGTGGTTCTGATGTTGATGTGTCATCAGTAATGTATGATTACAGAGATGAATGTTTGTTCAGTTAAACTCTGCATTTACTGAAAATGTAATATCATTTGCAGGCGAGCCCACGCTGTGCCAACTTGGCTCTGAAGCATTACCTGCTGAAGCCGGTTCAGAGAATTCCTCAGTATCAACTGCTGCTCACTGGTACATCTAAAAACATATCCCTTTAGCAACAATTTCTGAATAAATCAAGCTTTACCCAACCTCGGTCTATTTTATTTGCAAGTCATTATGGGCTGCTATACCACACTTCTGTGAGAATTTAAGCTCCGTGCTGCCATCTGGTGTCCAAAAAACATCTTCACCTCCTCAGTTTTTACATGAGATTTTAAATCGGATTTAGTGGCAACAGAAGCTTTGGCGTGATTGCATTTAATGTTTTTTTGCGTCAGGAAGATCAGGACTTGGACCACAGTGGCACCAAAATGTGAAGAATGTTCCTTCATATAAATACTGTGTAATCACATTATGTAAGGACCTGCAGACCTTTCTTATCTTGGGTTTTATGACTAAATCATTCCAGGAATTTACTACGCACAAAGTGGAGTCAAAGCCAAGGAGCAATGTCCAGTTCCCGTCATTCGACACTGGTGTTTCCAAACTGTAAATGTTTGTTCTTTTGTTTACAGATTACCTTAAAAATCTATCTGAAGACTCTAAGGACTACGTAGACACACAAGGTAAAATTGTATTGTTTTTAATCTGTGCTTGAGCATAAACACGATGACCTTAACACATTTTTATCCCATCAGCTGCTCTTGCTTTAGTGAAGGAGGTGGCCAGTCATGCCAATGACACCATAAAACATGGGGTGAGAGAAAAAGTCAACTCTAAAGACAATATTTTTTTAATGTATTGATACAGCGTTTGTCAGTGTTGCTAATTTCTGCTTTTTCTTCTCAGGATAACTTTGAGAAGCTGATGCAGGTGCAGAGCTGTCTGAGTGGCAACCACCATGAGATCATCCAGCCCGGACGGGTAATTCATCTCTGATTCAGCCCTCGTGTGTGTGTGTGTGTGTGTGTGTGTGTGTGTGTGTGTGTGTGTGTGTGTGTGTGTGTGTGTGTGTGTGTGTGTGTGTGTGTGTGTGTGTGTGTGTGTGTGTGTGTGTGTGTGTGTGTGTGTGTGTGTGTGTGTGTGTGTGTGTGTGTGTGTGTGTGTGTGTGTGTGTGTGTGTGTGTGTGAAATCTGTTACTCTCTTAAATAACAGCAACAATAAAAATGGCATCCAAAGGAATGATCATTGATTCAGTTTTGGGTTTTTGTGATGCAGGTTTTCCTTAAAGAGGGTGTCCTGATGAAACTCTCCAGGAAGGTCATGCAGCCCAGTATGTTTTTCCTGGTATGGTGCACAACCAGCTCTTTATTTATTGGCGACTGTTTTGTACAGATTTAAATGTTTTCTACACCAGAGCCTGAACTATTATGAGAACAGAGGTTAAGGTTGAAACAGTTCATAGCTTTTAGCCTTGAAATGAATCTTCTCATCCAACATTTAGACAAAATTCTGTTTGTTCTGCTGATGTTTTGACTGTTTTTCCATTCTTGCTCATCCTTTGTTAATCTTAGTTCAACGATGCCTTGCTGTACACCGTTCCTATTCAGTCAGCCCAGTATAAGCTGAAAAATATGATGTCGCTAGCAGGGATAAAGGTGAGAACCTCCTTGATCTTTTTCTCCATCATCACATAAAAAGAACATCTTCCAGTAAGCTGTCTGAGTTAATGATGAATTTAATTACAGGTTAGTAAACCGAGTCAGGAGGCCTACCAGAATGAGCTGAACATAGAGAGCGTGGAGCGCTCTTTCACACTCTCTGCCAGGTAATTTTACAAAGAGTCTTGTTTTTGGAACAGAAAATTGCTCCTAAAGGTGCATTATGTAGAAATGAAGTAAAATGACATCCTGTGGTAAAATGTGGTTACTGCAACTACTTTAAACTACTCTGGAGCTTTTTGCTGGCTGTCATCATATTACATCTGTTGACGCTGCAGTATTGGCTCGCAGGAGACCTTTCACAGTTGAATTGATTCGGTACCATTTCTCGGTACCTATGAATCGATTCCGGTACTTAACGGTACAGATTTTCCAAACTTTTGAGTGTTTAATAGTTAATTCTCTTTTGTGATTAAATATATTTTCTCTTTATACTTTATATATATATAAACTGACAAAGTGGCAGCTATAAGCAAACAGTTTACTCAACTGGCCACTCCTGAACATTCGCTACCACAAACTCCTTCTAGCCCAACCATCTCAAGCCCCACTGCTTCTGTTTCCTATTTTTCCCCTCTCACTGAGAACTGTGTGTCCAAGCTTCTCACGTGCAGCCGCCCTACTACATGCCCACTCGACTCCATTCCGACTAAGCTGCTCCAAGCTATTGCTCCTACAGTAGCCGCAGCAGTCACACATGTGATCAACGCTTCACTGACATCCGGTATATTTCCCACCTCTCTCAAGCATGCTCAGGTTAAACCGCTGCTAAAAAAAACATCTCTTCCTCCAAATCAGAACTACTGACCTATCTCTCTCCTCCCTTTTCTGTCCAAAATCATTGAAAGGGTGGCTTTCAAGCAGATCACAGAATACCTCTCACAAAACTGTCTGCTTGACCCTTACCAATCTGGGTTCAAAAAGGGCCACTCCACTGAAACTGCTCTGTTAGCAGTGACGGAATTCTTAAAAGAAGCTAGTGCAACACCACCTCACTGGGTGAGATCATTCGATCACATGGCTTCTCCCACCACTGCTATGCAGATGACACCCAGCTCTATCTGTCATTTCCACCGGACGACCACACTGTCTCTGCACGATTATCAAACTGTCTCTCTGACATATCAAAATGGATGAAATCCCACCATCTCCAACTCAACCTCTCTAAAACTGATCTACTTGTCATCCCAGCAAAACCATCCATACAGCACAATATCTCAATCCAAACTGACTTCCTATCTCTAGCTCCTTCAAAGGCAGTTCGAAATCTGGGTGTTGTGATTGATGAACACCTGACCTTTAAAGATCATGTTTCCTCTGTTACTTGTTCCTGCCGCTTTGCGCTGTATAACATACGAAAGATCAGACCATACCTAACACAACATGCCACCCAGCTCCTGTTGCAATCTACTGTTATCTCCCGCCTCGATTACTGCAATGCCCTTCTAACTGGTCTTCCAGGCTGTACTGTGAGACCTCTTCAAATGGTCCAGAACGCAGCGGCGCATCTGGTCTTTAATCAGCCAAAAAGAGCACGTCACCCCTCTGTTCATTGAGTTCCACTGGCTACCGCTAGCAGCACACAGTGCCTACACCGCACTCAGGACAATCCAGACACTTCTCATGCATCGTTCCACAAATGTGGAATGACCTACCAAGCACTACCAGAACAGGGGCTTCCTTTTCAATTTTCAAGAAACTCCTGAAGACCCTGCTCTTCAGAGAGCATCTTCTTAACTAGCACCCTCCCTGCACCCCCCCCCCCCCCCCACTGTCCACTCCTTGTTCCCTACTCTCTGTGATTGATGTCAAGTTGTTGTTGTTATTGTTGTTGTTCGCCTCAAGGGAAACATGCAGATTATCACTTGTAAGTCACTTTGGGCTAAAGTGTCTGCAAAATACATAAACAGAAACCATGTTTGATAAATAACATGCAAACTGTTTGTATTTTATCATCGTAGTGTGTCATTGTGTGAACCTTTAACCAAAACTGTTTCTAAATTATGCAAAAACTTACAACTCAGCTCCACGTACTCCTATACCTCTTCTATGCTCTCTGGAATAAGTATGATGAGGAGACCATGGATTATAAACCACAAATGAAACTAAAACTAACTTTGACACCATATAACTGTATTTTAATAATGTGGTGTTACATAAACTAAAACCCAGCTCCACCTACTCCTATTCCTCTCGTTTCACCTCTGGACAAATTATGTGATGGGTGTATTGTATAATTAAAATCTGAAAATTAAACTCAAGCAAAAATCTTTGCAGTGAACTAAATTCACTGTGCATCTTCATTCCTTTTGCCATTCATTTTCAAACAGTTGATTTTTCCTACTCGGAAGTCGTAATTTTCGAGTTCTGAGGAAGAAGCAAACACACCATTAGCTGATAGCAACGGAAGCTAAAGTATCACTCTAACATTATCTTAAACAGTTTATTTACCTACTAGAGCAGATTAAAATAATAATGCCTCATTTTGATCGTTGTCGATGTTGTCATCATTACCCAGTCACCATTCAGTGAAGTGGACCCATTTACAGCGTGTTCTTTCTACCATGCTGCTTGCTTTGTTTACAGCTGGCCGGCAGCGACTGACTACATAACGCTCTTGCATGCACTGCTGCCTGTCTTAGGAAATCATCTACTAAACTCTAAAGGCCCTTTCCGACTGTAAGAACCTTTTGTAGTTCCTAGAACCTTTTCAGGAACCAACCCCCTTTTGCGTGCGTTCGGAAAGATAGGAACTGGTACACAAAGCACTGTTTCGTATAATGTGAATTGGTCCTTGGTCAGTGCTACGGAATTTGGTCAGTGCCTCAAAAAGTACCAAATACGGCACCCATCCCTCCTGAGTAAACAGTTGTTACGTCCCTCCTTAATTTGTTTTGAAAGGAGAAAAACTGATAATTCCCACAGCCAGCTAGAAATGACATATGTTTCAGTATGACCTTCTTTCCAAAATGACTGAATCATTACTCTTTTGGGATTTTCTCACTTTAAAATGCTCACTACAATCTTGCATACTGCACCTTTAAGTGTGTGTCACTTCATTTGTTGCCTGTTTTTGTAGTTCAGCTTCAGAGCGAGATGAATGGCTTGAGTCAATTTCCATGGCGATTGATGAATACACTAAGAAGAAAATTAGTTTTATATCCGGCAAACCTCCAGATGAGGTAGAATCACTTCAGAGACACTTTATTTACATTATTCTTGTGATACAAACGTATACAAGAGTGGGTGCATGAGCAGTATTTTGTTGTTAAATCCAGGAACAAGTGAGGAATGTTGATGATGATGATGGTGCTAATTTAGGATCCAAAGCCCCCATATGGATCCCCGACCTGCGGACCACCATGTGTATGATCTGCACCTGTGAGTTCACCCTGACGTGGAGGAGGCATCATTGCCGCGCATGTGGAAAGGTACGCCAACAAAAAGCATGCTCGGGTTTGGAAATAATCCCATCTTTCAGCTCTAAGGGATTCTGAGGGGAAAATTAGATTCCTGTTACATTTTGTTTGAAACATGGGACTTTCCAGTTGTTTGGTCTTATAGAGTTTAGACATTTGATCAAAGATAAAAATGCATATGCAATCCTGCCTCCTTAGGTTGTGTGCCAAGCTTGTTCCTTCAACAAACACTGTCTTGCATACAAGAAGAACCAGCCAGCTCGAGTGTGTGACCAGTGTTTTGCCGTTCTTCAGCAGAGAAGTATGTCTGACCTTGTTTGCAATCAGACTGTTTGACAGAATGGTGCCTTACTTGCATTTTGTCTGGCTGACACATCCATGCTAGTTAGACACAGGCTTCTTTTTTTTCATCAGGTGAAATGACCTCATCAGCACCTCCAGCCACTGGAAGCAAAACTGCCTTTGTCTTCATCAGGAAGCAGAAGAAGATACCTGCGACCCTTACAGAGGTACATTTGTTTTCTTATTTCCTTGGGGAAGTGTCAAGGTTAGGTTAATTAACATTAGTTGCACCTTGAGTCCAATATTTACTTATCAAAACCAATCTTTTTACAGATAAACTCATACATCATGATCAATTTGACTGTTCTGTTTTATTAAATGCCCACAAAATTCCTCAGATGGCTTTCATTAATTTCAGGTAACGGCAAACACCGACAATTCCTCCATGAGTGGATATCTGATGAGGTCCAAGCAAGCTAAGAAGCAGGGGAAGAGGCTGTGGTTCGTCATCAAAGACAAAGTCCTGTACACATACGCTGCCAGTGAGGTACCTGCTTGACGAGGAGAGATTTAACCACTTTTTTTTTTTTTTTTTTTTTTTTTTTTTTTTTTTTTTTTTTAGAAATTTCTAATCTTTTGTTTTTCTTTCTCATGCAGGATGTTGCAGCTCTAGAGAGTCAGCCCCTGTTGGGCTTCATGTTAAAAGTCGATCCATTGCAGAAGCTGCAGTTTAAGCTCTACCACAAAAACACTCTCTGCTACATTTACAAAGCAGACGACATCCAAACAGCCCAAAGGTACTGTAGAAACACGGGTGGCTGGTACTGTTTTCAAATGAAGATGGTAATAACACCAACATAAATATGTGTCTTTAAACAGATGGATCAGCTCGTTCAAAGAGGCCACTGTGTTGTAACCAGCTGACAACACTAAACCGAAGAGCCTGGAAGTGTTCTACCTCAGAGACACCATGGCCAAATGAAACTGGAAGGAATTTATATATATATATATCAGACCATAAACACATTTATGGGGTTTTAGCTTGTAAAATTACTAACCGTTGTAAATATTTTATCCGAGTACACCTTTGATTTTATTCATAATTCAATTCCACAAAGACCAGTGTTTAGCCATCTGTAAGAAGGACCAGTACTTTAAACAAAACACTTCGGAGGTAGAAGCGAAGTAACATTTTTTATTTTATTTATTTATTTTTTCCTTTTCTCACGCTGAGGGGTTTAGACACTACACAGTTGTATTATTGGGTTTCTAGCATTGGTGGTGTATTGGGAGTTTAAAATTGAATTACATTCATATCATGTTTTTGCACTTAAATCTAAACACACACACACACACACCTTTACTGGCATTCTGTACAGAAATTACTGTTATGCACAATTTCCACACCCTTACACAAATGTTGTATACTTTGTCTTTTCAAATTCTGCTGCTTATTAAAATGTACCGTAAACACATTTTGGTGTGTGATTTGCTGCAACAGTAGTGTGTTGGCAGTAACTGTTGTGAAATGGTGCTTAAATAGTAGGAAATGATTCCTTCCTGGTTCAATGGTATTGGATAAACACAGATGAAACTCAAAAAATTAGATTGTGGTGCAAAAGTTCATTTATTTCAGTAATTCAACTTAAAAGGTGAAACTAGACATGGACAAAATTGTTGGTACCCTTTGGTCAATGAAAGAAAATAACTCGAGTCTGACAAAAGTAATAATTATATGAAATTTAACCAATGAAAGTCATACATTTCTTCACCGCTCTCCTTATTCTGCTTTCCCTACCTACTTCACCTTCCTCAGGATCCACTGATTTCCCTCTTTCCTATGAACTCTCTCTTTCTTTACATTTTTAATCACAATTGTCTATTTTTACTTTTTTTAAACATATTTTTAACCATTTTCTAAATTCTTTTTTATATTTTAATTTTTTTGTTTTTGTGAAGCGCCTCGTGATTTTGATCTTGAAAGGCGCTATAGAAAAGATTGTTTCTTCTTCTGTTACAATATTGTAATCTGTCAATGGGCCTATATATAGGGCTCCAGGTAGTCACTGTTGTTTGGTGACATGGTGTTTACCACACTCAACATGGACCAGAGGAAGCAAAAGAAAGAGTTGTCTCAGGAGATTGGAAAGAAAATTATAGACAGGTCTGTTGAAGGTAAAGGCTTTAAGACCATCTCCAAGCAGAAGATATTCCTGTGACTATAGTTACACATATTATTCAAAAATTGAAGCCAACCTCCCTGGACATGTTCACAGGAGTAAAATTGATGACATTGTAGCATTAAGAATTGGCTACATATGCGTTAAATGATCAATAAGATGTGATATATAAATATGAAAGGTCAATCAGATTGATCTTTGAATGTTATCAGAAGATTTTAGCTTTTTAATTATGGGAACATGCACACTTCATATTAGTCAAGTATATAGTTTATTAAAATGAATTAATTTCTATTTCCCTAAACTAATGATTATACCTGACAAGCTATGAATGAAATGATGGAATGTAATGGATGAAGTGATGGAATGAAAGCTAGATATTTTGGCAAAACCTTTCTTAAGTATCTGAGAGAGTTTGTGGTGTCTGGGTTGTAAAATTAACTTGAATGTATGGTTTGATCAACTAAACTTTATTTATATAACCATCCGACGCAAGTTGTGCCGGTCTATGCACCCTTGTGTGGAGATCCCCGTGCAATCCAGAGGGTCATAAGATCCAGCTGGACACTGCCAATGGCGTGGACCTCTGGTAACGAAGCCCGTAGATTAGCTCCGATACGACCTGCCCAGTCTGCGATGGTCTCATTAATCAAACATTGCGTAGAATCCTTACTAAAACCGTACTTAAGCTCAGCTAAAAAAATTTACTCACGCCAAGCAGGTTTGTGATCTATCAAACATGGAGTACGCGCAGCTGCACGCAATCTCCACTTCATAAATCGGAGACTAACGAGAATGTTCTATTTCGTCTAGTCTTAGCCCTTAAGCTAGCTGCTATTGGAAGGATGATCTCCGCATCAGCCAATCATGAAGAGCTAAAATGTACGCCCACCAATAGTGGGCCCCCTCGTGGTATATAACCGCAGTGACCCCACTGCTCACCTCCTTTTTCTCTTCATGCCAAGCTTGAGAGCTTTATTAAAGAGCAAATATTATCCTAAAGAGCAAAATTATCCGAAGACGACTTACCAGCCATGTCCAGCGACGCCAGACCCTGCCCGACCTACCAGACGGGCTCCATTTCCAGCGGCGACCTGCACGCTAAGTGTGAGGTCTGTCTCGGGGCTCACCACGCTGGCCTGGCCTTGACCCCGCAGGCCTCGTGCCCGTTCTGTGCCGCTCTGCCCGTGGCAGAGAAGATTCGCCGGGTCGAGTACTTCACTCCCGCCACCGACGAAGAATTTCCGGTGGCTGACTCTTACCCGCTGGACAAGGCTTTGGATTTCTTCGACGCCGGTCAGGAGCCGGCTGGCTTCAACCGGCTGGATGACGTCACCGACAGCGAGAACTACGATGAGGCGGAATCCCTCCTAGACATAACGGAGGTCGACGAGCTTCGCTCAGCGGGTCCTTCTGCCCCAGTGGCTTCTCGCTCCTCCCTGCCAGCAGTAAGAGCACTGCTCCAGGAGCTGCCCGCCATCATTTCTGCGGCAGCAGCCCGCAAGGGGCTAGCTGTGCCAGAACCGGCCCCACCTGAAGCGGATGATTTGGCGGGAATTTTCTTGGCGACTCAGACACGCTGTCCAGACCCTATCTGGCCGCGCTTCCCTGCTGCTATGAGCTGCTGGTCTGCCGCCTTCTCCGAGCCTGCCAAGCTCAAGGCGCCAGTCTCCACGTATGCGCCCATCACCAAGGTCGAGGGGTTTTCCGACCAAGGCTGGCCGTCCGTTCCTCCGCTAGAGCCGGACTTGGCCTCGCTGTTCGGCGCCAAGAACCACCTCGCTGGCCCGCGAGCTGTTCCCACTTCAAAACATGACCAGCTGCTGACGCGGCTCACCGACCGCGCACATCAGTGTGCCTTTCAGACCGGCGCTGCAGGGAATAACATCGCCCTTCTTGCCTTCGGCGTCTCAAAGATGATGGAGGAGCTGGAAGCTCCCGAGGAGTCGAAAGCCGTCATTACTAAGACTGCTGATGCTATCCTCAATCTGTGTGCTGCTGTGCTCACCGGTTCTGCTCGCATCGCTGCCTGGCAGACCCTCATCCAGCGAGCGATCTGGCTGAAGGCTCTGCCCTCCATTCCGGAACATCTGCAAAGGGAGATGCTAGACGGCCCCATCACCACCGATGTTCTGTTTGGTCCCCATCTTAGGGGCGTCATTGAGCGGGATCAGAAGACGGCCGAACTATCGGCTACAGTGCGAGACCTGGTCCACCCTCGGTCAGCCTCGCACTCCGGCCGTTCCGCCAGAGGATGGGACGAACGGCGCGGAAGCTTCAGACGTCCAGCTGCACCGCCCGCTCCACGGAGCCGGCCTCCCGCTTCGGCTCCACATCAGCGGGACCAGCGAGATGGCGGACAACGGTTCCGGTGGGGCCAGCAGACGCAGTCTTGGCAGTCCCAAGTGCAGGAGCCTCGCCGAAAGCAGCCACGGAAGTGACTCTTTGGGGGGAATGTGTGTGTTACTGATAGTTCTGATGTTGTTGTTGGTTTTGAAATAAAACCCAAAAAACGTCACTCAAAGAGCACAATCCTACAGTCCTCCGCAGAATCCTCTGCCGAGTTCTCACACATGTTCCCCACACCAAGCACTGCTGCACGCACACATGTTCCTGCAGGTACAGGTAGTCATAATACACGGCCAGCCGTAAGGGTGCGCTCATTTGCGCTCCAGCCCCAGCATCCGGCCAGGCCCAACTCTTCCCGCTCTCCCCACACCGTTGGGTGGGGCGGGATGTCAGGTCGCTGTCTCGACCACGCGCGGGGGCACAGTGCGCGGCTCCATCCGCTGGCACTCTGTCGCCCCCGTGCACGGGTCCGGCTCCCACTCGTCCTTCACTCTCGGAATCCACGCTCTGCGGTGTGGACCAGCCTGTTCCAGCTGTTTCGCACTCGCCCTTTCGAGCGCAGCCCTCCATGGGTCGCCCCCAGTTCATACGGGCGACGGCGGTAAGGGCGCATGCACAGCCCTCGGACGTTGTTCACGTGACCGCGCACACGCGTCCACTGTCGGAACGTGCGCACGAATGGCGCAGCCTTTGTATCATGAGCAAATGGATTTCGGACACCATTCATTGCGGTCACACACTTCATTTTCAGGCCACTCCACCTCCCTTCAACGGGATCGTGGAGACGACGTTCACATCGCAAGTACAGTCTCAGGCCCTAGAGCTGGAGCTGCGGGAACTTCTGTCCAAGGACGCTATTTCCCGAGTCCCTCGCGGACAAGAACTCTGGGGCTTCTACTCCCGCTACTTCGTAGTACCGAAGAAGTCGGGAGGAATGAGGCCGATTCTCGACCTGTCCCTGTTCAACTGCTCCATAGCAGTAAGGCATTTCCGCATGTTAACGATGAGACAAGTCCTGGAATACGTGCGCCCCGGGGATTGGTTCACTTCAGTCGACCTGAAAGACGCATACTTCCACATACCAGTAGTTCCAAACCACAGGAAGTTTCTGCGTTTTTCGTTCAAGGGAGTTCAATATCAGTTCAATCGCCTCCCTTTCGGCTACTCGCTAGCCCCGCGCACCTTCTCCAAATGCCTGGAGACCGCGCTGCAGCCACTGCGCACGGAGGGAATGAGGGTCTTATTTTACCTGGACGATCTTCTCCTGTGCGCTCGGTCCAAGGACGAGGCGTCACAGCAAACCAGGAGGTTGACAGAGCATCTGTCAACCCTAGGGTTTTCTATAAACTGGGAGAAGAGCTCCATCCTTCCGTCCCAGTCGATTGTGTATCTCGGGGTGGAGCTGAACGCCTCCCTAATGAGAGCATGTTTGTCGCCTGCAAGAGCGGCAGATCTCTCCACGGTGATCTCCCGTGTACAACCCCGCAAGATCGTGAGAGCCCTGTTAGTCATGAAACTCCTGGGCATGATGTCCGCAGCCCATTCGGTGGTACCGCTAGGTTTGCTGCGCACGAGGCGCTTGCAACGCTGGTTCATCCGCCTCCGGGTACACCCGATACGTCAGAAGAGACGTATGTTGAGGATTCCCCCTTCAGTGGGCGGGGACCTCGCTCACTGGGGGAACCCCTGCATCCTCTCACGCGGGGTTCCCATCGGACGTCCTGCCTCACACATATCTGTGTTTACGGTTGCTTCACTGTCGGGGTGGGGGGGCACGTGCTTGTCCCATACTGTGGCAGATCGCTGGCCCTCCCACACGCATGAGCACATAAATGTGTTGGAGCTTATGACAGTGAGGAATGTGATCAGACACTTCGCCGCCCTTCTCGAGGGCCGTCATGTCGAAGTTCACACAGACAACCAGGTGGCGGCAGCCTACATAAATC